GTAAGATCTTATTCTTGGTAGGAACAACAAATATATTTCAAGGTTATTCTGGTCGTATCTCTGAATTAAATTTTTTCACTAAAATATGGTAGCACAAGTAGATTTATAGCTGGAGAGATATGTTACAGCCCTTTTGAAGAGAGTTTATTTTATTTCAGTGTTCTTAATAAAAGAGTTGCATAGCGAGATTGTTTAAGAAAGCTACAGTCTATAAAACCACCCTTGAAGTCAGTCTGGAACAAAGCTCTTGAAATAAAGTGAAAGCACGTCTCCTCACATTATTAACAAAATAATAAACAGATATTTCAACTTGATAAAGGTTCACATAAACTTTCAGCCATACCTCAAAATCAGCAGATGTTTTCATGAGAAAAGTGTCTGAAGAAAGTAGAACCCCAACAATCCCTTTCAATCACATACCTGACAAAGCTGCCTGATAACATTTCAAAGGTTTTTTTTTACTTTGATTGACTGAAACGTAATCTTCGAAGCCAACATTCACATACAGTAGAAGGTTTTGGTTAACACTTCCTTACCATACTTTATAATAACTTGTTATAAGAGAAACTGTAGTGTTGAGCAGTAGCACACAGTTTTGACTATTAGACTGAGTGATCAGTAAAGTAGGTCCAAGGGCACCATAGGTCCTGGAACATTGTTTTTAAAAAGTTTTTATATTTCTTAAATTGTGTTATATGGTCGTTTTAACATAATTTTTCTGTCAGATTAAAAATGCGATTAGTGATTTTTTCTTTTGATTTTGAAATGATTGAAATGTTCGCCATTCATTTGTTGTACTAGTTTATATATTTCATTATTCAAGTTCTGATATACTTTTTTGTTGTATAAAAATGTTTTGGTTCTGATGAGTGACTGATGACTCATTTATTGAACTAAAATTAATGAGCTGAAAAATATGTTTGATTGGACATTTACAGACTAACAAACTTGTGAATTCCAGGTATGTCACAATGAATCTGGAGAAATCAACCCTGTGAAAATCAAAGCTTTGGTGGAAGGATATGTGAAAAAATTCAAACACCAAAGAAAGAAATCTATGTCAGGAGCAAAACATGGGAAATAATCTTGAATTTAAATATTGTACATATATGTGAAACAGAAGGGTCATTGAAAAGTACCCCACGAAGAAACATGTCTGAACAAAAGAAGCACTAATGCTTTTTTTTTCTGAATAGTGTGTGTGGTTTAATATCTTCTAAAAAATTGTTGTAAAATTATAATCTGTGTTATTGCAGATCACTGATACAGCTGTACAAAGTGTTATAATTTTTAAATGTAGTAGTAGTAAAGTAGTGGTGTACAGAAGTTGTACTGAATCTCCAATGAAAGGTACAGAAAAGAAGAAACTTTTAACTTTCTTGTTTGTTTTTTGGCCAACTGAGTCTTCTTGCTGTCTTCATCTGTCGAATATTTGACTTGTATTTAAGTAGTGAGGGTTGTGACAAGAAGAAAGCAAATATAAAACTATTACACCATAAGTGAATAGTTTAGTAGCAGGGAAGAGAAAGAAACATCAAGGATAATATCTTGAAGAAAATTATTCAAAGTGTTAAAAGATAAAAAATAAATTAATATGTGAGTGATAAAAATAGTACCTCTTCATGAAGGTTTTGTCAGTACCATTATAAGAAGTTATTTTCTGTTTAAAAGAATATTTATTTAAGTGATTAAGTGATACTTGCCAATCTGCAGCTATTTTGAATTTTGTATTTTTGGATCCAAGAAAAGATTGCATAAAGCTAGAATGTAGTAATTCACAAAAACGTTTTTCATTTGGTTTTTATTAGGCTAACGGCAGTTGAAAGTTGTAACAATCCAGGTGTCTGACTGGGACTAACAGACTTTAAAGCTCATTTGTTAGAGTATCAGTATCAAAATATTAACATGAGCCAAGGTTCAAAGGATTATCAGGTTGTAACAAGGTTTAGTTAATGATAATGGTTCTCAAAATTAACATAATTGTTTTTGATGCTCTTATTAGGAAAGATATTGTAGCTGTTGTTAAAGGACTCGTTTGTTGTATCAGTGCTTATTAGAAGTACATTTACAGATCTCTAAGATATGTGTGTGTGTCTTTCTTCTAAATCTCACTGACAGGAATATTAAGCATGACAGTTTAATACACAGAAAAAGATTTGATGAATGGCAGACATCAATGAGCTTTAGATTATTATCTTTATATAAAATATACAGGATTATCTTTCAGTAGTTTTCTCTTGAAAAAAAAACCCACCCAAAACTTAGTTTGCTTATGTATGAGGAAATACAGTATGTTTATTTCTTTTGTAATAAATAAATAATCAATACATTGTTTTCCTTTCTCTGTGAGAATAGGGAACTAGAAAAGACGTCCTGTAGGTTTTTGGTAAAAGATGAATGTAATATTTAAACTTTTATATTCGTTCAAAAGTTATACATTTAAATTATTATACAAATTTAGCCATCTAAAAGTTGTAAGGTTAATTTGATTATGTCTTTTGACCTAATACTTATATTAGCATCATTCCTTTCACCAAAAAAAGTTGCGTGATACTTTGATTTATGATTGCTATAGTTTTAATAAATTATAGGAAATTTAGTTAAGTTACATGTTCACTTTTAACATCATGGCAAGATAAAAGTTTTCAAATAGAAAAGAAGCATTGAGTTTATAGAATAAGTTAGCAAATGTTAATGATGTTTTCTTCACTCATTTTCTGTGAAAAAACTCCTAACAGACATAAGGTCTCTTACTCAGTTCATTCCTTTTCGTATGACAAGGGTTACTGTATGTTAAAAGTTATCAACATAACATAGGTTATAAGTTTATGACTTTTTCAAATGTTAAATTTCCATAGACAGAACAATTGTTTGAGAAGTAGGCTTTATATTTGAGACATTAGTTTTAAAGCGTCATCTCTCTCTCTCTCTTAAAATGCTCCATTCTTCATTCAGACAATAAGAACAACCAAAGCCTAATTTTCATTTATTTTTATATT